AGTCTCACCTGTATAACCTGTGCTCCCGTTGACCGGGATGAGGGAAAAACTCACCCTGCGCCTATCCGACGCGGCCAGCAGCCTTTTTTATGTGGAAAGAAGAGGAGGGAAAGTGGAGAGTGGAAGGGAATTGAACAGATAGTGGGTGCATATGTGAGTTAGTGGTAATGGTGAGCATAGAATACAAAGAAGAAGTCGAGAATCAGAGCGTATTACTTCAGTCAGCAGCGGAACTGGCAGAATGATTCCCTTCGAATGGGACGTGACGTTATAGCGTTATAAGGTCACAACCAACTGTTGGCAATTTGCCAAACCTCAGCTTGAACTTTCATGTAAAAGCTGCTTGCGTCGTTTTCACAATCGAAGGGAACTATGCCGCCAGTTCTGCCATTCACTGAAGTAATTCGTGATAGTCGACTTTTCTGTGATCTCCTACCACTAACTCACATATGCACCCACTATCTGTTCAATTCCCTTCCTCTCTCTACTTTTCCCTCCTCTTCTTTCCACATAAAAGAGGCTGCTGGCCGCGTCGGCATACGCGCAGGGTGAGTTTTTCCCTCATCCCGGTCAACGGGAGCACAGGTTATACAGGTGAGACTACGTTGGGCAAACCTGACCCTGTCATGTCTACTCCTCTATTGAGCATTACGACGGGACAGAAATCATGTTTCTACATTTTCTAACTCCTAAAGTGCATGACCAAATATATCGCGCTGAATTATGTATCAGAACCACAAATTCGATTATCATAATCAACGGAAATCAATATTTTGAGAGAATCGGATACCGTTAAGCTGAGCTGCAAGTTTTGAACTGACAGTTTTGCATACCAGTTGTTTCATGTTCGCAGCGGATGGGAGATAGCTTTTATCGTTCTTTATAACCATTCCTTGAGCTGTCCTAGATCTATAAATTCGTGCTTTTGGAAATTAATAATAGTGTGGCTACCGACCGACGATGAATTACCTGCGATAGTTGTGCATATCAAGAACTTTTCGTCGTATCACGTCATCCACAACAGAATTTCTGGGGCAAATCTGATTCGATGCTGAAAGGCAATGCACACAGAGAAAGGCAAAAGACATATGGATGTTTCAAGCTGTGATTACTTCTGCTTTCGCCTGAAACGTTCCCCGACAGTTGCAGGCTGCTGAGCAGTGATTAATGATGAGATGGGAACTGTCTTACAACAAATTTAACTGGGCGAGTGTTGTGCATCACAGGGCATCACCAAAATAAGCTTGCTTGAAGAACCTCTGATTCTACGACTACTACCGACGATGGGTATAGAATATAACCTCACAGTCATAGCGAATTATTTCGTTGAAAGTGGGGTCCTGTGCAAAGCATTTGCAGCAGGACTCAACATAGTTAGTTTAGCAGTGCGGCGCGTCGACGTCGACCCTCTACTCTTTTGCGACTGCGTCTCTTGAGTCGAATAATGGCCCCTAGCTACGTGGAAACGCTGAAACTATTTTTCAGAGCGTCAGCATACGCTATTCCGGTGCCTTCCCCCATCACTGGGCAAACCCTCATCCCTGCAACTCTAATACTGGCACCTCAAAATGAAAAACCGTCCAATGTCGCGAATTTGAAATGAAGGAACAAAATCAGAGTTCATACCACTTTCCTTATCGAAAGAGCTCGTAATAAACCATCTTACCTAGCTATAAGTGGTATTTTTTTTGCGTACCATTTTTGCGGTGGGTACCATAAAGTTTGTGTAACTGGCGGAGAAGACACTACATAAGAGCCCTGTCCCTCCGAGCGAACAGCGTCCCCTTTCATTTCACGGCGGCCTTCATATTCCCCTCAAAGTGACACGAAAATATAAAGGCTTCTGAGAGAGGACGGTGACCCTCATGCAGCAGCAAATTTCTCCCACTAGATTTTTCAAGTTTATATTCGATTTCGAAACTGCAATCTGTGAGAATGGAACGCCCTGTGAGAACATGACAAACGGTGACGACTAGAGGAAACCTTACTGGGATTTGTCATTGCCATTGCGGGCACTCTCGTCGTCGTCGTTGTCGGTGCCATCACTGCAGTCGCGGTTGTTGTTGGTGCCATTGTTGTTGTCGTGGTTGCTGTTGGTGCCATTGTTGTCGTAGTCGTTGTTGGTGCCACTGTTGTCGTCGAGGTTGTTGTCGGTGCCATCACTGTAGTCGTGGTTGTTGTCGGTGCCACAGTTGTAGTTGTCGTTGTAGTGGGTGCCATCGTTGACGTCGTTGTTGTTGCTGGTGCCGTATTTACGGTTGTCGTTGTAGTGGGGACCATTGCTGACGTCGTTGTCGTTGTCGGTGCCATTGTTGTCGTTGTTGCAGCTGTAGTAGGTGCCGCCGGCGTTGTTGTTGTCGTTGTTGTGGGGGCCATCGTGGATATTGTTGTTGTTGGTGCCATTGTTGTCGTCGTGGGTGTTGCTGGTGCCACTGCTGTCGTAGTCGTTGCTGGTGCCACTGTTGTCGTCGAGGTTGTTGTCGGTGCCATCACTGTAGTCGTGGTTGTTGTTGGTGCCATTGTTGTCGTCGTGGTTGTTGTCGGTGCCATCATTGCAGTCGTCGTTGTGGTCGGTGCCATTGCTGTCGTAGTCGTTGTTGGTGCCATTGTTGTCGTCGTGGTTGCTGCTGGTGCCACTGTTGTCGTAGTCGTTGCTGGTGCCACTGTTGTCGTCGAGGTTGTTGTCGGTGCCATCATTGCAGTCGTCGTCGTTGTAGTGGCCACAGTTGTCGCTGTTGTTGTAGGTGCCATTGTTGTTGTCGTCGTCGTTGTTGGTGCCATTGTAGATATAGTTGTTGTCGGTACCGTAGTTGTCGAAGTCGTTGTTGTCGGTGGCGGAGGGCCACATGAAACCGTTACCGTTACTTGTTGCAGAAACACCTGACACCTTTCATCAAGACACATGGTGCTGCTCACTCTCAAAATCTGGTTGAAGAACTGACCTGCGTCAATAGTAGCAGTCGCAGAGTATGCATTTTGTTGTTTCGCCACTACGGCCGTCTTGAAGTAGGTATC